CATGGGCGACATCTATGGACAGCTGTGATCCCCAGCCGACGTCTAGCGGCCGCGCGGGGTAACCACGACCATCGACTTTGACCACTGACAGTCGCGCTTGGCTTGCTGTAGCCAGGGACGTTGCCGGCCACGGACCTGCATTCCGACAACAAAACTATCCCCGTTTGGTCGCAGCCTTGCCGTGATCTGAACACCATGGGATGGTCTGCGAGGAAGACAGGAGATAAAAAAAACTACAAGCGCATGGAGAGTGAGGGAGAGTGGCGGGGGGGGGGGGGGGTGGGAGGGGAGGAGCAGTATCGAAGGCAACTCTCATTGGTTCATGGCGGTGCACGGAAAGAAAAAGAAAACAATCAAATAGCCCGCGCCCGACACGACCCCAGCACCGGGTGAGTGCTCCATCATAAGGACGTCGCACACCACACCATATCCCGAATGCCGCTGGTCATTGACAGCGAGCCTCTGGCCCTTCCTCTCCAGTGAGCCTAAGGCTCTTCTCTCCAGTGAGTCTAAGGCTCTTTCTTCCTAGTTAGCCCAAGGCTCTTTCTCCTCAGTTAGCCTGAGGCCTCTTCTACCCAGTTAGCCCAAGGCTCTTTCTCCCCAGTTAGCCAAAGGGTCTTTCTCCCCAATTAGCCTAAGGCTCAGAGTAGCCAGTTTGTCAGAGGCTATTTCTCCCCAGATAGCCTAATGGCATTTCTCTCTAGTTAGTCTAAGGCTCTTCCTCCCCAGTTAGTCCTCGGCTTTTTCTCCCAGTGAGTCTTAGTGTCTTCTCTCCAGTTAGCCTAAAGCTCTTTCTCCCCAGTGACCTAAGGTTCTTTCTCTCCAGTTGGCCCAAGCCTCTTTCTCCCCAGTTTGCCTAAGGCTCTTTCTACCCAGATGGCCTAAAGCTCTCTCTCCCCAGTAAGCCTAAGGGTCTTTCTTCTCAGTTAGCCTAAGGGTCCTTTTCCCCAGTTAGCCCATAGTCGGATCCGGGGGGGGGGAGGGGCGGGCCACGGAGCCATGCCCCCCAAAAAACTCTGAGAGTATGTTTGAGCCTCCAAAAAAATTCCCAGAACTTCATAAAAGTTTCGCCTACTTACCGTCTATTTTAACTTTGATGGTGCGGTATGAAACATTTTTTTTCCGTTTCGGAAAAAAACTTCATGAAGAAAAGTTGGCAGCGATTTGAATATCAAAACAAAGCGCGTGTTGACCCAGCTTAGTCACACTCGGCGCAAACATCGTGTTTGATAAGCACGTGGGTGATTGGATTGCTGTTGGCATTGAACGAGGACCGTTCAAGAGCCAGAAAGCGTTTTTAATCATCTCAGCCCTTGTCAACGCTCCCACTAAAGAACATGACCTGCCTTCTTCTTGATCTGTGTACCTATCTCAATCTGTGAATTTGTGTTGTGTGTGGCCTGTTGGCGACCAACGGTTGCCCCCCCCCCCCAAAAAAAAAGAACAAAAAAACTCCAGGCTAGATCCGCCCCTGAGTTAGCCTAAGGGTCTTTCTCTCCAGTTAGCATAAAGCTCTTCCTTCCGAGTGGCCTAAGGCTCTTTCTCTCAAGTTGGCCTAAGTCTCTTTCGCCCCAGCTAGCCCAGGTCTCTCTCTCCTGTTGGCCTAAGGCTCTTTCTCCCCAGTTCGCCCAAGGGTCTTCCTCCCCAGTCTGATGACCTCCCCACACGATCGACGCAGCAGCCGGCGCATCAGAACACTGTTTGAGCAGCACGTATGTGCGCAGGGGTTTCTCAGAAAGCTTCATTACTGGTGGCTGAGGCCGTGTTGGCCCCGTTTCGCGTCCCCATCCCCTCTTCCCCTCCTGGGATAACGTCACAGAGATCGATCCTCACCAAGCTGCCCCCCCCCCTCCCAGCCGAGGCTGTCGGGCACAGGACCATCGACGAGGATGAACGAGGTCTGTCTTTAGCAGAGGATGCGCGGAGTGTGTCACGCACAACGAATGAACTGGCCCTGTGTATCGCAGCTGTCGCATCGCTCCCTGGTCTGCACAGTCTGAGGCCTGCCTCCACGACCCGAATCTTTGCCCCCCAAGCCGACAGTGTACTGCGAGGACCTCGTCGGAACAGTGCACTGGGGTGATGCACGAAGCAGCCCTGACCAGTGTGGCTCTTACGTTCAGAGGCATTTCAATGTGGGCACTCGCGAAAACATGAATTGAGCGATGCTTCATATAATGTCGATTCGTGTTATCACGCTTCCTTTTCGGAGGCTACCGAAAACTCAGGATCTCTGTAAAAACACGCCTTTCAGTATATTAAGCAGCTCGTAGACACTGTTCGGAAAATGCCATATCAGTGGTGTTAATCGGCGCCTGCCTCGAGTCGACTCAGCAGATGAGGCATGACGTTTTAGCCGGCTCGCAGCACTGTCACTGACAAGCAAGCGGGGAGTATCGCTAGCCTTACTCCAGTACATTCAGTGCACCTACACATTACCAACACAAGTCAGGCAATACATGTTTCCACGCGCTATGACGCTCATATATACATGCGTATAGTCTGCGGAAGGTTGTAAAACAACAAAATGGGGTAGCAGCATGGTAGTTTTTGTTTTTTCGCCAAACACTTACCTATCTGCTATAGCCTACACCCACAACACATATTCCATCTTTAAAATAAGACGGCCGGCACAAAAATCCTACCAGGTATTTACAGGCACCAGCACAGCAATAGAATCGTAAAAACATTTCCAGGTTCTATGCCAACACGGTTTATTTCCAAGCATGTGAGTTCGAGTGACCAAGCAAAGGAATAGTTTCATAGACCTTGCGCACGCGCTTCATAAACAAATCTCGAGTTCTGGTCCATAGTCATGGCATTTAGTCATCTTACTACACCAGTAAGATAGCGGACCGACAGCAGCAGGCGCGGGGCAGCCATGCGCGACGTCTCTGAAGTGAAGTCGGGACGCGCCATCCGTTGCAGATGGCGCTGGACTACAAACATGAATAGATGGCGCTGGTGACATGCATGCCTACCACGGTTTGACAAATCGAAGTCCGTTGAAGAGCCGTAAAATAACCCGTCTTTCCATCTCGTAAACAAAAACACGTAACGATAAAATCAAGTTCCTGAATCCTCAAAGGCGTGGACGTGTGCGAATGGATGGCGTACCGGCGACGCATCTGGCCCGACTTCAACCGAGACGATCATCCCAGACCAGCGCGAACACAGATCATGTACACAGCACCTTCCGCGGACCGCCCACGTCGCTCCCACACCACACGCCGGGCACCGCCGAGCTCGCAGCACCTCCGACTGCGCTGCTTTCCCCTCCCCGCAGCGCCGGCGCCATCGCTGACTATCGCCAAACACGCGCTCATGGGCGCCTGTGCCGCCGGCGGCCGCAGCGTCGCCTCCCCTATCACAGTCGGGCGCCGCGGCCGCGCCCCTGCAGCTTTGGTACCAGCCGGGCACGCGCGGCGTGTGCTCTGAACTCTGACCCCCGCGCTCAACCCACCGTGACCCCGGCGGCGGTTCACTTTTCGTCGCCGCCGCTGGTTCTTGTGCACAATGCGGCCCGAGATGACGTTGTACTGAACACGTCCGTGATAAGGTACGGCTGCTGGCCGAGCGCGAGGCGGCGCTGTGCGAGCTGGGCGGCCGCGGCGAGCCGCACAGCAGGCGGCGGTACGCAGAGCGGTACTGCCGGTTCGGAGAAGGCGTAGATGAAGGGGTTGATGACCGGCCGACATCCAGGCCAGCACCGACCAGGCCACTACGTGCAGGCTGGGGTAGCGCACCATGGAGCAGAGAGCGGTGAGAGGTGAGAGCGCATAGCACAAGTCCATGGAATGATTGAAGAACTCAACGGAGGTTAGACGAAATTGCGTGGTGAAACATGTGCGAACGAACCGGTTGAATTGCATTAACTCAATGCCGTGGGAATAAACATATTCGGGGAAAAAACGTCAACTTCACATGCTTTTTCCATCCAGAGCGTTTAGTTTTGCCAGAAAACGGATAAGTCATGCAGAACGCATACACGAGACGGCCCGAACCACGCTATGCCTCGAATCGTTTTCGTTCTTTGACAGCGTATTATGGTATACGGCAATTGTGTCCATTTCCTAACCACATTCACCGCTATTCATCAAAAATGTGACATGAATACTGAGCCAGACTGATACACAGATCATCTCTCTCCAATGCCCACTCAACATTCAGCAAAACCATCACCATTAATCAGACGCTCGTTGGGAGCAGCCATCGACCATGTTGCGTACAACTCATGACATCATTTTGCAACCCTGTCGCTTACATCATCATCGTCAAACACGTTGACCAACATCAGCGGGAAGAAGCAGGCCAAGAACGCCAGAAAGATGGTGAGCATCATCTTGGTCAGCCTCATGTCTTCCTTCCGCGCGTTATTTTTCTGCTGCTCGCTCTGCTTGGACGGGCTCATTGACGTCCGCGCACCATGCATGCTGAAATGAAGTCCAAAGCTTTAGTAACGCAGCCCACCGCTAGATGTCAGGGCTTCCGCACTTTTTCCCAGCGCCGCCGGTGAATGAACTGAAACACGAAAGCGGACCCCAGTTAACCTTAATTCGGCGCGAGGTAGCCCACCGAATTGTCTAGCGGATGGCGATCTTCCGTACCAGCGGCGAGTCACTCCTAGGACGTTGACACCTCATGCCGCGCCCCAGCCCTCCCGCGGGAGTGAACGCTGTTTACGCGGCTACACAGCGCTAGATAGAAACCAGACAGCGTGCCTGGCGACCCCTTGGCGCCCTGAGCTGGAAACTCATGCTGCGTCTCAATGGCGCGACAGGCGCCCATTCCACCCCGTGCGCCTCGGCGGTGGGGGGCTATGAAACGCTGCACTCGGAGACAAAACACGAAATAGCTAACGCTTTCCGGAGAAGGAGATAGTATTATTCATTGTAAGGCAGAGGAGTGCGTTTTAGAGAAAAAAAAACAGAAGCTTTTTGGGGAGCATTCTTAGCGAGTGTTATGGGGAGGGGGGACAGACCTCCTGAAAGCGCCTGGGGCGTACAATGAGGGTCACGGCCCCTTCTGCAATCATACAAGCTTCACCCGCTCCTTCAAGGATGCAGGAATGAAAATAAGCTTCATCTATACCGTTAGCACAGTCTGCTCACAATAAGCACCGTGCTAAACACTGAACAGTTTTAGAACGATACTGGTGTTAATGGTCTCCGTTCTCCTAATCCTCCTCTGGCAACTTCGCGGATTCAGTCACGTTTTTGTACCACATAAACGGTGGGACGACTTTGTTTGATCACATGGAGACCGATTTCCAGAACGACCGGGTTTCGCAGAACGACAGCTGACTCTTGGCCGTATTCGTCACCGCCACATAGGAAAATTGTACTTCAACCGCCTCCCTGTCCCGAATGTCCACACCACTCTCCTCTCCTCCCTCTCCTCTCCTCTCCTCTCCTCTCCTCTCCTCTCCTCTCCTCTCCTCTCCTCTCCTCTCCTCTCCTCTCCCTCTCCCTCCCTCTCACCTGTGGCCACGGATGGTCTGCCGACTGCGGCGGACCTTAACAAAGATGAGCGCGTAGCATGTGACGATAATCAAGCACGGCAAGAGCACGCCGACTGCGAAGAGCATCTTCTTGGGCGACTTGCCGTTCTTCTTCAGGATCGTGCAGGAGAAGGTACGCTCGTCGAGGCCGAGCCGACCCCATACCTCCAGCAGCGGCGGCAACATCATAGCGAAGCTGACGGCGAGACGGAACGGTCACAGACTGCGCAAGTACCCGCCAAGCAGCATCGGAGCTAAGTCGAAGGCCTCGGGGAACAATTATACGACGACTGGAGTCGGGAGCTATTATGCATTTCAGCGATACTGACATGACATGACACTGAATGACTCCAGCCAGCAGGTCTCGCATCGCAAAGAGCATCGAGTTAAACCTGTCTGGCGGTGCCGATGTTTTACTTGTCCAGCTCTGCGGCTGACTGAGAGTTCGCGACCATCTGCACAGCGCGATGTGCGCTCGGCTCTCAGCCGAGCTGCGTCGGGGTGCGCTCGGCTCTCGCGGGAGCGCGTGCTCGGGCCGTGCCGCGGCGGCGGAGACGGGCCGCCGTGGCGTGTCCTGCATACTCGGGGGCCTGTTTCGGCGGCGCGGCGCGGAGGCATTCGGCCCAGCCTATTACCGATAATTAGTCACTCGGACACAATACCCGCGCGGAATGCTACAGCGCGCTTCGCTCCGCGAGGATCGGCGATTTCAGGACGACTGCGCAATTCCGCGAACGCCGTTGTCGTGGAATGGCTGCGGAGTCGTTCCCGACGAGTGGTGTTTGTCGGGCTCGTTGGCTTAAACAAAAAAAGAAAAAAGTGTGATTTTGCCGCACGTCAGCATGGCGCGTAAAAAACTTTTGACACTAGCGACCGCGAAACCTAGGATGATCCAGACATCAGAGACTCCTCGAACACAACTAACGGAGTCTACACCGGAAAGCCACGAGTGTGTTTATAAATCGGGATCAATTTAGATGCGTGCAGTGCATGTGACGGGTTTCGAGATCTTCGTAACTCAGTCCCAGCAATCAGGGGCTGTCTGCGGCTGTATACGTCTGGGTGCCAGCGATGCTTGACACCATCTCCAGCTCGTAAATTGTTACCGCTAGCGACAGATGAATGGGTCCGTTGTTGAGTGATGCGTCTTCTAAGGAAACGTTAATGGTATATACAGGCACTTAACCCGTTGCATTTGAGGAAACCGGCCCGTCTTTATCCCATGTCACGAGCAGTGATGGTTTGCCAAACGCCAGCACAACAGGATAAGCCGACCTCTCCTGAAATTTCTTAGTCATCCAGCACGTGACGCGACACGCGAAGCGTCATCCTCAACAATTTAAACGCATGGCCGAGCATACGTGAAGAGGAGGCCCTCTGCGTCGCATCCGGCAGCGCAGGTGCACGGCCCATGCACGCCCTGCACGCCAAACATGACATGCAGGCGGAATCGGCGGGGCGACTCACCTGAAGATCCAGACGGCGATCGCCATGGCAACGATGCACGGGAACCGGTAGATCTTGCTGTACAGGTGATTGTGCCCGATCAGCACGTACCTGAAGGGGCAGACGGCGGGGGTTGTCATCAGCTCGGCCTCGTCTCGTGTCAGCAGACGGGGGAGAGGTCAGGGGTGGGTGCACGGCCCCGGCCAGATCTGCGGGGTCCCTGACGACAGAGCTCATGCATACAGAGCAGGGGCAGCGGAGGACTGCCATGGTGGTTGCATCTCCCGGACGGTGGGCGGTGCGGTCTGTCGGGTCAGCACCAGGCAAACGTTGCAAGGCGCCGCCTGCGGGTCGGATGGCGGATACTCGGCGCAGGCTCGTTGTCGGGCGTCGGGAACGCTCCCTTGCGGACTCTACACGCGCCGGCATGGTCACGTGGTGACAGGCTAGGAGCAACGACGCGATGTATGGTCAGGGGACGACAGCATGCCTGAACAGCATGTCAGACAGCACGTCTGAACCGCTGTCGCACTACCGCTGGTCCCCGCTTCAGGCTGCTTGCAGCCTGCAGAACCCGCGACAGCTTCTGCGTCCATTTCGTCCAGTCACCATTGCCCCTCTCTCCCGTCTCACTCACCCCGCCCGATAATGAGTGCAGATGAGTCATAACTTGCCACACATCACCGCCAGCCTTAAACAGCCTGTCACCGTGACTCAGTGCCAGCGGAGAGACCCGGGCGTGAGGTCATATCTCGCTTCCACTGGTCACTGTGACGGGTCGCGGTCTGCACATCCTGAGGTTTTACAGCCGGCCGGATGACTCCTTCCCAGTAAGGCACATAAGCGCACCAAAGACCGACTCGGCCAAGGACCGAGCTCGTGTCTTTTCCCGGTAGAAGACCGCAAGCGGTACGTTTAAGCCGCTTCGGTGTGCCGCATTCGGTTACATGTATGAGTTCCTGCAAGACTGCATGTCCATTCCAACATCGCAGCCGCCCGTGCTAACATTCAGTGATGGCACGAATCTGCGTTGCTAAGCTCCCCAGCCACGAGCGCGCAGAATGGCTTTGCATCGGCGATATTTCGCTGACTGTTCTCCGTTAGCTTAACGATCACCATAATTAAACTGATTGGGAGGGCGCGGCTCAGTCGATGCAGCGTTTGCCCATGCTTACTTGATGTTCCGAGTCGCAGGTTCCAGCCTGGGTACAAGACTAGTGTATCACTGCCCTCCCCCTCCCCCCCCCCTCCCTCAACCGGCGTGCGAGGATGCGACAATGACGTCAGCAGCT